GGTCAGTCCCAGAGCCCTCTGACCCCCCTTAGTCCCAGTGCAGGAGCGTCTCCCACCACTTCCAACAGCCCCACCTGGCCCCTCCTGCGTCCTTTGTCCTTGTTCTTAGCAGCCATTGTCACCTGGCCTCCTCCTTAGCCCTTTGTTCTCCAGCTGGTCAGACCCCGCTGGCTTCCTGCCGAGGGTCGGCCATTCGTGGTCGTTAGTTGCTTGGTGCCAAACGTCTGGGCAGCTGGAGTGGCCATTGTCTTCTGGGACTCTCCATGGGCGTGGGGCTCAGGCCCCACACAGCCAGGCATCAGTCACACCTGGATCGTTGCAAAGAGTAAACAACTTTTCCCCTCACCTAGTTACCCAGGCACAACATAGGGGAAACTGAGGCACACACTGTATTCATACAAAATATTATGAAAAATTCCCACTTGGTCACACCCTGTGCTTGTCCTACATCCCCATGGCCCCTGCTCTGTGCGGGGCCTGGTTACGTCCTGGCAGCCCCGGCTGCACCCCAGCCTTGCCCCCTCCCCACAGCTGACCTGCTCTCTCCCCATTTCCAGACCTTATTTAACCCTAACAAAACTGTGGTGAAGATGTTCCTGGTGACGTACGACTTCCAGGACATGCCAGCCAACCACATGACCTTTCTGCGTCACCGCATCTTCCTGGTGCCCGTGGGGGAGGAAGGGCCCGGCGAGACACCCAGCGACCCAGCCTGCGCCAGCCCGCCCAGGAGGGTCCTCTGCTACCTGATGCACCTGAGGTAGGGGCTGAGGTGGCGAGGGGGAGGGATGGCCATGGGTCCCATCACCCTGGAGCTGGCCCCTCTTCTGGGCAGGAGCTCCTGCCCCACTCCCACCTCCCTTTCCCCTGGACCAGGATTCTGAGCCCAGAGGTGGCCATTCCCCTTGCAGCAGCCTGACTTCATTACCGCTGGGAACAACGGGAGATGGCGGCCATCTTGACTGCCACCTGCAAGGCTGCCAGGCCATGGCAGTGACCTTGCCTGGGGCAGCTCTTGGCTCTGGAGCCTTTGGCAGCGGGAAGCAGTGGCCATTCTGAAGGAGGACGGAAGGTCATGGGGAAGCTGCCAGCCAGGAGGAGAGGGTTGCAGTGCTGAGCTCCCCTCCTGCAGCCAGAGCCCCCTGGGAACACCACAACCCTGGTCCTGCTGCCAGCTCCTCCTTCCTGCTATGGCTCCAAAGGAGCGCCTGCTCCACCCTGCTCCCTGCTGCAGCCCGTGGCCTCTGCCTCAGGGAGTCTCGTTTGCCCTCAGGTTTCACAGCTCCAAGTCGGGGAAGATCTACCTTCACGACGACATCCGGCTGCTCTTCTCCCGCAAGTCGATCGAGGTCGACTCGGGAATCCCCTACGAACTGAAATCCTTCACGGAGATGCCAAGGAACCCCTGCTACTCACCCCGGGCCTGAGCGCGGGGAGTCCCACGCCCCCCTCTCCACCCTCACCCCTGCACTTCGGAGACAAGTAAAGGGCAAGAGAGCGGAGCCGTCTCCTCCCCCAGAGGTGGGGTGGTGAGGCACAGACACACCCCTCCCTTGACAGATCTTTGCGCCTGTGCCAGAGAGTGAGCACGAGGGGGGAGCAGGATGGGATCATGGAGATGGCTGCATGGCGTGAGCAGGAGCTGGTGCGCTGGCTCCTGTGCCCCCAGCGGGTCAGAGACACTCCTAGGCCTCTGGCAGCACAGCTCCAAGCCGTGCCCTTCAAGGGAGGCTCGGGGGCAGGAGGGCCCTCGGTCTGTGGGGCTCGGATTGGGCGGAGCTGAGCTGGCTCCCAGGCTGTGGGGAGGGATGGAGCAGATGGCAGCTCTCAGAGGGGGAGGTACTGTATTTATTAGTATTTATTGTTGGTGGGGAGCCAGGATGGAGGGTCCACGGTGTGGCTCGTAACCCAGCCTTGATCACAAGTGCAGCGAGTCCGATGGGCTCTGCTCTTGGTGCCCTGTGCATGTCGCACGCCCAGCTGCGCAGCCCAGCATGACAGCAGGAGCTGAGCAAGAGACGCGCAGGACTGGAATAGCAGGGGAGACTGAGTCAGGATTGAGGGGTATCAACAGAACTGGTTGGTAGGACTGGGGCTGTGGGTTGGGATTGAGGGGCACTGGCAGGGCGGTGGGGAGCCCAGGGCTGCAGGTCGGGAGTGAGAGGCACTGGCAGAGCTGGCGGGGGGGGGGCGCGGGGCTGGGCTGGCAGGGGGGTGCGGGGGGGGAGTGGGGGGCACTGGCAGGGCTGGACGTGCAGGGCCTGTGGGCTGGGGCTGAGGGGTGTTGGCAGAGCTGGGGGGGGAAAGGGGCTCTTCTCTTGCCCTCACTAGCCCTAGTGCTCTCTACAGAAGCCCCAACTCCACCTGAGGGAACCGGAGGGCTGGCAAGCGCCCCCGCGCATGGCCCGGAGGAAAGGCCGTGAGGCCTGCTGGGCCCTGTCTCCCCAGGGATTGGGCCCTTGTTCAGGCAGTTGGGGGAGCCTCTGTTCCTGCTCCCCTCCCCCTGGGGGCAAGTCCAGCCCCTGGGGTGTCCCTGGATAGCAGGGAAGTAGTTGCTGGCTACAGCCCTGGGGTGGAAGGGGTCTGTACTGGGGCCTCTCCCTGGCCACCCCTGCTGTTCAACGTCCATGTGAGCTGGGCTGAGCTGTGTCTGTTGTCATGGTTATTGCTACAGGAGACTTCTCAAAGGAAGCCCAAGCCCCTGTGAGAGGGGGAGGGGGCTCTCTCCTCCCCCCTCCCTCCCAGAGCAGGGCTGTGGGGCACCCAGGGTTTCGGAGTGTCTGCTGCAGATTGGCACGGCAGTGGTCCGGGGCCCGGGGCCCTGCAGGGGGCCTCACTAACCAGGCTGCGTTGGGGCGGGGTTCTGGGGTAATACTGGCCCATAGATTCCCCCTGCCCAGCTGGAGCTGGTGGGAGGTGTGGCTGACTCTGAGGATGCAGGAAAGCCAAACCCTCCAAGCTGCAGCAGACAGCTCCTGCGCTCAGCCTGGCCCCCAGGCGCTGGGCACGGGCTGAGTGAGGCCAAGTGGGGCCTTGCAAGTGAGAAGGGGAAGCCAGAGGGTGCACATGGTCACTCGCTGGCCACACGTCTGGTATGATGGGTTACAGGAGGGGGATCCTAGGGGCTGGGCTGACCCCGTAACTCCCTGCCTGAGAGCAGAGACACTGCTGGCTTCCCAAGGCCCCACGTGGCTGTAATTACCCCATCTCCCGCCATGGGAGATGGTCCTTCCCCTCTGTCAGTCCCTGCCTGGGCTCCTCTCTCCTGCCTGGGGAGGGTTGAGTGAGCTCTGCCTGAGTCACCCCAGCCCGGCTGACCCTTCCAGACCCAGGGGCTGAACCCTCCAGGGGGAATTCTTGCATGTCCCTCAGCCGTGAGTCACCTGAGCTCCCCTGGCTGGGAATGAGCCGCTGCCTGCCTTGCTTGGTGCTCAGGGCAGGTGACTGGAAGTGGCTGCACTGCGGGATTGGATGGCAGGAGGAGACGGGTAGGGGGCAATGGTTCCAGCCCTGTGACCTAGCAAACTTGGGGAGAAAAGAATGGCCGGGGGGTGGGGGGGGCGAGCACAGGGCTCGATGTTTGGGGCAGTCACAGGCATGGGATTTAGGGTCGCTTGGAGCAATATCTCCCCAGCCTGGAAGAACCCTGCAGAGAATGTTATGGAGCCTGTCCTGGCCCCAGATGTGAGGGAAGTGGGGGTGGGGAGGAGGTGGCCAGAGAAATGGGGAGACCTTGGCGCTCTCCCTTGCCCAGGAGTTGGGCTTGCAAGAGTCTGGCCTGAGATCGTGGGGGTATAAATCCGGCCCTCCCTGCGACCCAGGGTGGTGGGGAGTTAAACTAGGACCCCTAAGGATGGAGTGGAAAGACCTGCACACACCTCCCCCAGCAGGATGAAGCATGAACTGTCGCATGCCAGGCCCCGGGGCGGAGGGGAAAATCCTGCCGAGCACAGTTCCTCCTTCCCTAGAGTGTATCAAGGGTGGCAGGAGTGAGCACTACCGTTCCCAGCAGGCCGTGCACCATCTCCAGCTGAGCAGCTCTTCCCACAGCTGGTGGGGGGGACGCTATTTGAAATGTAACTTTTAGCAGCAGAGCCTGTGCCGCAGCCGGGGCACTGGGGGTCCGGAGCGATCTCTCCATTTCAAAGGAGGCTGTCAGGCCCCTGAGGGAGCGAGTGACTTCAGCCCGGCTACCTCAGGTTAGAGCTGCAGCTTCGTACATTTCATGGGGCGGCTTGGTCGTCCCCTCCCCCGTGGCCCCTATAGCTGCTGGAGTGGGCACGGTCCCTCAGCACTGTTGTTCACACAATCTTGCGTCCTGCTCCAGAAATGAGTTGGGGGAACAAACACTCACAAAAACTTGAAAAAAAAAAAGAGAAGAAGAAATATAGTACCTGGTACTTCTCCTTTGTAATTTAATAAATGTTTGTTTGGAAACGGAACGCAGGGGGTTGTCTTCATTGTGCTAAGAGGAGAGGCCAGATGGCCAGTGGTAGGTCACTAGCCTGGGATTTGGGAGACCTGGAATCCAGTCCCTGCTCTGCCACAGATGCCCGGTGTGACCCTAGGCATGTCCTTTAGTCCCTCTGCCTAACAGCATTTCCTGCCTCACGGGAGGGTTGTGAGCACAAACGCATTGAAGATCGTATCAGACTCCCACTTTCCATAGGTACGGTGGCTAGGCGAGCAGAGAGGCTGCCGTGGCTGGGGCCAGAGCTCGGCTGAAGAACGGGAGCTGCGTTAGATCTCATCCTTTGTGGTTTCAGGCTCCTGCTCAAGCCAGGAGGTAGCTACTCTGGCGGGTATAGCTAGTGCCCAGGGCTACTGAACCTTCCATAGCGGACACCATCAAAAGGACTGTTTCTCTAGCTCCTTTCATGATGTGTAGGCGTCGAGTGTGCTTTACAGCCATAGCAGTGCCTGGCAGCCACCTCTGGGCTGGAACCCTGCAGCTGGTTCAACAGCACCCAGCAACACTTCACAATAGGTCAGGGCAGAGAGCGAACAAGAATCCCAAACCCCAGTGAAGCTGCAGGGGCAGGCAAAGTGCAATGAGGCGAGCTGGGATTCAGCCATGATGCTGAGTTTAAGGCCCTGATTAAGGGGTCTTCCAGAGTACCCATGGTCTGATCTTAAAGCCCCCACTTCCCTGAAAGCTGGTGCCTCCTGTCTGCCCTCGTTACATGTTCTCCCCTGACTGCTCAATGCCACCATTAGTAAAACACCAGACCTGAGCTGGACTGTGGCGACAGGACACCAGTGTCTTCCAAGGTGAAGCAGCCCAAGCTGTGCCCCCGATTGCTGGGAAGTGTGAGGTCTTTGGGGGATGGACGCAGGAGAGTCACTGCCTGCCCCAGCAGGACCAGGTTCAGGCCAAACTTATGAGCAGCCTACAGGGGAATGGCCTGTACAGAGGCTGCCTATGCTGAGGGAGGTTGGGACATACCTTAAGCTGGGATAATGGCACCGTGCCCCCAGATCCTCTGACTGGCACTAGACCTACTCAGTGCATCATCGGTGCAGTTCCTCCGGCCAGAGGCTGTCACAGGCGCTGGGACTGGCCCCTATCGCGCAAGGAGATAAAGGGAGCACGGCCCTAAAGTGGCATTGGGTGCCAAGACCCATCTGACAAATCCGGCCTGAGAGCTGCTCTCACACTGAACGTGCTTTGTACAGCTCACGTGCCCCTTCTCCCTGTGTCCATGCAGGAAAAGCTGGTATCGCGTGCTGTGCCTGGAGTTCTCCGCCACCCTGCGGGCAGGAGAGGGGAATTCTGGGCTCCATCTCCCTGCAGATGGAAGTGCATTATTAGTGAGTGAGGGGGGCGGCACCGAGGGGCCAAGTCCCTGCTCCAGGCAGTCTCCACTCTACCCTTCATTCTGTATCACCCCACAGTGTGCTGGCCACTGGCCAGAGCAGATAGAGATGGTCCCTGCCCCAAAGAGCAGGGGGAAGGGGCAGCAGGGAGGCACAGGGGGCAAGGCTGAGACCAGAGGCATCCCATGGTACCTCAGTGAAATGCCTGTGCTCAGTGGCTGCATGGTGGGGACCAGGGGCAGCCCAAGGAGGGATTCACGGGAATGGGGCAGCAGCTGCCACAGCAGCCCTGGGAACAGGCTCTAGCCCAGGGGCGGGCAAACGTTTTGGCCCGAGGGCCACATCTGGGAATAGAAATTGTCTGGCGGGCCATGAATGCTCATGAAATTGGGGGGGGGTGTAGGAGGGGGTGAGGGCTCGGGGGTGGGGCCTGAAATGAGGAGTTCACGGTGTGG